CCACACCTGGGCACCCTCCAGCTCACTTTGGAATTGTATAAAAATGAAAAATTTGATTTTGTATCAACTGCTTTGTGCTGCTGCTGGAGCTGAACTCAAATCCTAGTTATGCTGCAGAGTTCTGTGGGACAGAAGTAGCTACTGAGCTGGTGGCACATTCCATCAAATGGGAATTTGGATGGAAAGAAACTGCAGAATCACAGAAAAACCCCCAAACACACCCCACCCAGTTTGTCCCTGCCCAGTTTGTCCCTGCCCTCATGCATCCCCACAGTCCCCCAGGAGAGGAGTTACTCACTTGCCATGGGAATAGGTCAGTTTGTTGTTCTCAGATGGGATTTTGGCCAGGATCTGCTCGGTGACCTCCAGGAAGTTCCCCCCACACCAGGCGTGCTTGGCCAGGATGGTGGTGCCCCTCGCCACCACTGCAAACAGGATGGCCATGGCTGCTCTCCTGCTGGGGACAAAACAGGGACATCAGCACTGGGGGCACCTGCACACTGTCCCCTGGCACAGGGACCACGACAGGGGCAGGACTCAGCCAGGACATCACAACCACCACATTCTCTCATTTCCCCTTTTAGCTCTGCTCCCAACGACACAAGACCCTCTAGAAAAAGGGTTTTCATCACCTCTGTGCCCTGTGAGGGTTGCAAAGCTGAGGCTGTCCAGAGAAGCTGTGGAGCCAGCATCTCTACCTGAAGAGCAGAAACCAGACCCAACAAGTTTATGAGGGTGAAAGAAAACTAAACCTTGGAAAAGTCCCATGAAATGCTGCTCACAGCAGAGGGAAGGGCAACCCCCACAGCCAGAGCAGCTGGGGCTGCCCCTGGATCCCTGGAAGGGGCCAAGGCCAGGCTGGATGAGGCTTGGAGCCACCTGGGATAGCAGAAGGTGCTGGGAGTTGGAACTGGATGAGCTTCAAGCTCCATTCCAACCCAAACCATTGTGGGATTCCCTAAGTCTCCAGAGCTGGAAAAACACCCCTGCTGCCACAGAAAGGGACACTCTTAATCAGCTCAAGTATCAGCACATTAATCTATGGCCAGAGCCAGATCTAACACATGGAGCACATGTCAGAGCCCAGCTGGGCCAGCTGCCCTGCTCATCCTGCACATCCATAAGCCTCTTTTCTGCTCAGCAAGGACTTAGAATGACTTTGGACCCTGCAAAACCCAAAAATCTCATTTTTCACTTTGTGCTTAGGCCCTGCTTATTACCTGCTCTCTTCTGTGCACAGACCTCTCCTGAAGCCCCAGGAGAGCTCTCTGGGAACAGCCACAGAGCAGCAGGGCTGCCTGGGCTTCTGGACCCAGATTTTCCATCCCCCTGGCACTGCCTGGTGAGAATTAGGGATCTCTTCTGGATTAACAAGGCCATGAAGGGAGATCCAACCACCACCCCAGCAGGGCTCACCTGGGCAGGCTGAGTCCCACAGATCCAGGCTTGGCACCAACCAGAGCATCTCCAAACCTCCCACAGTCTGAGCCCAGCATTGGAGAGGAAAAGGATAAAGTCATGGATCTACTCACAAGACAGACTCCACACAACCACCTGGGAGCACTGCCAAGGGGAACAGAACCATGGAATGGTTGGGGCTGGAAGGGACCTCAAGACCATCCCCATGGCAGGGACACCTCCCACTGTCCCAGGTGCTCCCAGCCCCAGTGTCCAGCCTGGCCTTGGGCACTGCCAGGGATCCAGGGGCAGCCCCAGCTGCTCTGGCTGTGGGGGTTGCCCTTCCCTCTGCTGTGAGCAGCATTTCATGGCACTTATCCGAGGTTTAGTTTTCTTTCATCCTCATAAACTTGTAGGGTCTGGTTTCTGCCTTGGTTGCTCTTCAGGCAGAGATGCTGGCTCCTGCAGGAAGCTTCCAAGGAATTGCTTACTCCTTTATGTTTCAGCTCTGAGTAATCTCCACTTTGGCGCATTTTCAGGTCAAAATGCTCCTGTCTTAAATAATATTGTGAGCTAACTCAGCCCAGGGAAGTCACTGCACCCTCCTGTCCCTGCAGAGCCACTGGACACAGAGGGTTTGGCCAGCCCAGGGCTGTCCCAGGCCCATGGAGCAACAGCAGGGCACAGCCTGGAATCACAAACACCTCTTGAGCAATCAGCTGAGTGTCCAGCACCAGGAAACCACTGTCTGCTCCTGCAGTCACCCAGGAGCCACAGAAAGGAGCAGCTGCAGCAGAAAACACATCCCAAACCCTCCCCTTGCCCTGCAAGGACAGCTGAGACTCGGGGTACAGAGCCCCCCCCCCCACAGATACCTCAACAAATGCAGCCCCAGCTGAGGATTGTGAAGGGTTTAGACAATTCCCACAGATCTCTGCTCTTTTAAAAGTGGATTTTGGTGGAACCTGAGGTGACACCTCAGCAGCAGCAGCAGTGAGGTGGCGCTCACTGGCACTGGAGGATCCCACAGACCTCAATTCCCTGAGTTCCTGGCTCTCCCTCCTGGGGTTCACACCCTCAACTCCCCGAGTTCACAGCCCTGACTCCCCAAATTCCTGGCCCTAATCGTGCTCAGGACACAGGAGCTCTGTGCCTGGCAGGAACACCAGCCCCAGCTCTGAGCAGAAGGGGTTAAATGAAGTAGAAGACATTAACCAGGAGCATTTTCCTCCCTGAGCAGCCTGTACCAGCCTTGTGTTACTCCTGTTAGTGACACAAATCTGTTAAACTGCCACAGAACGTCCTTCCTCAGCAGTTACAGCAGTCAGGAATGAAATCCCTTCAAATCAACCCCTCTGCTGAGCTTTTTCCTATCTAAACTTACAACATTACACAGCTGGAAGCAGCCAAGACCAAACCTTCCAAAAAGACCCTGCAAGATGCACAAGCTGCTGCCTGAGGCCCCTCTGGGGACTGAACTGAGGCATCCTAGAAACCCAGAATGGTTTGGGTTGGGAGGGATCTCAAAGCCCATCCATAGCCACCCTTGCCATGGCAGGGACACCTCCCACTGCTCCAAGCCCTGTCCAGCCTGGCCTTGGGCACTGCCAGGGATCCAGGGGGAGCCACAGCTGCTCTGGGCACCTGTGCCAGGGAACAATTCCCTCCCAATACAAGGGCACAGAAAAACCTCTTAAGGAACATCAGAAACACAGGCTCAGTCCCAGCATGATGTTTAGAACTCCTGTAAGGATGGTTTACTGTTTTCCAGCCACTCTTCTGGCCCAGAAGATTCCCAGCTTAGTGCCAGTGAGCCAGGGAAGGTCCCTGCCTGCACTTGCAGAAATCCTCTTACCAGAAAGCAAAGGGCACCACGCTGCCGTTTAAGCACAGAATAAGGGAACAAGGGGAGGTGTTGCAACCCAGCGAGTTGCAAACTGCTGCAATAAAGAGATCGTTTGAGCAGGGTGAGCTCAGCAGAAAGCAGCCCGAGCTTCCCTTTAACCTCTGCTGGGCAGCTGGAAAAATCATTATTTCATTACAGAATATTCCACCATGAAGTCCTGGGGCTCTCCTGTTCATTTTGAACCTGAGAATTGCAACATTTGTGCTCCAACTGATCCCAAGTTCAGCCTCCCTTCTGCACACAGAATTTACTTCAGGTGCCCCCACTGCATCACTAGGGAAACAAATCACCAAGGAAATCAATCCACACCCCATCACCTTTGGAGGCAGCATTGCAGGGGAGTAAGGACACGCAACACCACAGTGACTGAGTAAGCAGCTCTCTAAAGAGGGAACACGTGCAGCCCAAAGCATGGAATCAGGGAATTGTTGAGGTTGGAAAAGCCCTGCAAGAGCACCAAGGCCAACCATCCCCCAGCACTGCCAAGGCCCACCCCAACCCCTGTCCCCAAGTGCCACATCCACACGGCTTTGAAATCCCTCCAGGGACGGGCACTCCACCACTGCCCTGGGCAGCTGTGCCAGGCCGGACAGCCCCGTCCAGGCCAGAATGTTCCCATTATCCCACCTGAGCCTCCCTGGCACAGCCACATCCCGTCATCCTGCGGCTGCTCCCTGGGAGCAGGGCCCGACTCCCTTCAGCCTCCCTGCACCCCCCACCAGCACACCTGTGCTTAATTAACTAATTAACTAATTAACCCCTGCAGTGCTACATCCGCAATGCCATCCACCCCCAGACACACCAGTAACACCTCAATAACACGCCGGTAATACATGGGTAACACCCCAGTAACAAGCAAGTAACACACCAATAATACCCCAGTAACAGGCCAGTACCACACTAATAACATCCCAACAACATGCTGGTAACAGCCCCGGTAACAGGCTGGTAACACGGCAATAACACCCCAGCAACATCCCAGTAACACAGTGATATAACACCCCAAAAATAACCCAGTAATACAGAGATATAACACCCCAGTAATACACCAGTAACCGAGAGATGTAACACCCCAGTAACACAGTGATATAACACCCCAGTAATACCCCAGTAATATGCCGGTAACACCTCCGGTAACAGGCCAGCAGTACACTAATAACACCCCAGTAACATTATTAATATCCCAATAACCCACCAGTAACATCCCAGTAACACGGCAAAAACCCACCAGTAACACAGTGATGTAACACCCCAGTAACATGCCGGCACCACCCCCGGTAAACATCCCAGTACCACACCAATAACATCCCAGTAACATGCCGGTAACGCCCCCGGTAACAGGCCAGTACCACAGCAGTACCAGGCCCGCAGCTCTCCCGTGACACACCAATAACACCCCGGTAATCCCCGGTCACCCGCCGTGCCCCCCGTGCCCGTGTCCCGCTCCCGGTGCCGAGCGCGGCCTCCTCCCGCCGGCAGCGCCTGCGGCCCGCGGGGCTGGGGCTGGGGCTGCGCCCGGCCGGAACCCCCGCACCCGAACGCCCGGCCCAGCCCGGCCCGGCCCAGGCCAGCCCAGCCCAGCCCAGCCCAGCTCCGGGCCGCCCCGGCCCCCCGCTCTCACCGGCGCTCCCGGGCCCCGCCGGCCCCGCTCGGCCCCGCCCGGCCCGGCCCGGCCCCGACGCGTTTCCGGCCGCGGGGCCGCCGGGAGCCCGGAGCTGCGGCCCGGAACCGCCATGGCCGGCAGCGGCAGCGGGCCTGTGCTGGAAACCGTGAGGGGGCACCGGGAGCGGGGGGTGGGATCGGGGTCAGGGTCGGGATCGGGGGGCCCCGCTCCCTCCCTTCCCTGAGGTGGAGCGGGGGCCGGGCCCTGCTCCCGAGGAAAAGCAGCCTCACGTTGTGCCAGGGAGGCTCAGGTTGGATATTAGGGGAAATTCCTTCATGGACGGGGCTGTCCGGCCTGGCACAGCTGCCCAGGGCAGTGGTGGAGTGCCCGTCCCTGGAGGGATTTCAAAGCCGTGTGGATGTGGCACTTGGGGACAGGGGTTGGGGTGGGCCTTGGCAGTGCTGGGGGATGGTTGGCCTTGGTGCTCTTGCAGGGCTTTTCCAACCTCAACAATTCCCTGATTCCATGATTCTGTCGTTCCCAAGCCTGGCTTAGTGGTAGGGCACCCTCTCGTGTGGTGGGGTGGCTTCGGCATCAGGACAATCATGTCAGGGTGGCTCCAAGGGACACCCTGATATCCTGTGGTGAACAGCAGCAGCTGGAGGTCAGGACTAACCTGGTTTAAAACTAGGTGGAATTTTGGAGCTTTCCCTCCTCTCTGAAGGTGTTTCGGTCCCACAGCAGCACCAGAGGTGGCCCAGCGAGACCTGCAGCCCTCCCAGCTACTCTGGGAAGCTGAGCACGGGAGCTGAGCCTCACCCTTCAGGTGTCCCCTACCTCAGGGAGGTCACAGCTTCTCTCCTCTCGCACTGGTGACAGATCCAGGCGGATGGGACGGACGGGAACTGCGTCACGTTCGTGCTGCACGACGAGGATCACACCCTGGGCAACTCCCTGCGCTACATGGTCATGAAGAAGTGAGTGGGGCCTCTGAGGGACATCCATGCCCTGCTCCGGCCTTCTCCCAACTGACCCACACCTCAGCTGTCCCTGGGATGAGACAAACCATCCCAAGTCCCCTCTGTGCACACCCTTCCAGCCTTTCTGTCAGACATGGAGCCCTGCTCCCACCTGCTGCTCCTCCTTTTCCTTGGGCTGTGTCAGGACTCTGAGAGCACCAACAGCCCTTAAAGGGCCTGGCCAGCCTCTCCTGAGCTTCCCCCCTCACCCTCCCCTGCCCAGGAGCACAAGTTAAGTTCAGCCCAGGGCTTTCAGTCCCTCCTGAGCAGCTGGAGGAGTAACCGGGTCCTGGACTCCATTTGCTGCCCAGAGAGGCTGTGGATTTCCCATCCCTGGAACTGTCCCACCAGCTGGACAGCACCCTGGAGCACCCTGGGGCAGTGGAAGGTGTCCCTGCCCATGGCAGGGGCTGGGACTGGGTGGACTTTAAGGTCCCTCTGATAAATCACTGTGACAACACAAAAGAAGCTGCTGGCCAAAGCGGGGGCAAAGCCCCAGCACTCAGCTCAGCTGGAGAGAGAGGCCCTGCAACATTTTGGGAGCTTCTCCAGTGCCCTGGACCACTCAGCCTCTGGCAGCAGCAGGGCAGCAGCAGGTTGCTTACAGAGAGAATTGCAAGCATCCAGGATCCTGTGTTTGGATCTGCAGAGCTGGCACTGCTCTGGTTGTGGTGCCAGCCATGTCTTTGCCCTGCAGAGCTCCAGCTCAGCTCAGAGAGAGATGGGTGTGAGGGAACAAGGACACACAGGGAGTTTCCCCTCAGCACATCCCTCCCCTAAGTCATTCTGGAAACATTCAGAGCCCCAGCAGGCCTGGCATGCCCTGAGCTTCTGACTTCCCTGGGATTTGCCATGGATTGGCCTGGGTCTCACTGCTCCCTCTCCTCTCTCCTGCTGCCCTCCTGCAGCCCTGACGTGGAGTTCTGTGGCTACTGCATCACACACCCCTCAGAAAGCAAGATCAACTTCAGGATTCAGACCAGAGGTGAGCCTGGGGCTGTCCCTCCATGGCTTGGACCCTGTGCTTATGGAATTCCCCCTGCTCATGCCAGCTTCCCAGCAGTCTGTTAAATAAAGAAAAGCCCTTTCTCCCTGCCCTCTGCCAGGCACTGCAGTGCTGAGCCCCTTTGCTGAGCCTCAGAGGCTGCTCCCAGAATTCTGCTCTGGCTGCAGTGGAAGCAGGATCCCTGCCTCCAGGCACCTGGGCTGGCTGGGAGCAGCCCTGGCACCCCAAGCTGTGGGGCTGGGGAGGGGGCACACCCCTAGGGAGGTAAGGACTGCCCCCAGCCACCTCCCATGTCCCTTAATCCATCTTTTCCCAAAGGGGCCCTTCCTGCTGTGGAGCCATTCCGGAAAGGGCTGAATGACCTGATGGGTGTTTGCCAACACGTGCTCAACACCTTTGAGGTGAGATATTCCTGGAGGGCTCAGGGTCAGTTCTGTCCCTTGGGCCATTCCTGGGGAGCTTAGGGTCAGTTCTGTCCCTTGGGCCATTTCTGGGGAGTTCTAGGTCAGTTCTGTCCTTTGGGCCATTCCTGGGGAGCTTAGGGTCAGTTCCGTCCCTTGGGCCATTTCTGGAGGGCTCAGGGTCAGTTCTGTCCCTTGGGCCATTCCTCGGGAGCTCAGGGTCAGTTCTGTCCCTTGGGCCATTCCTGAGGAGTTCTAGGTCAGTTCTGTCCCTTGGGCCATTCCTGGGGAGCTTAGGGTCAGTTCTGTCCCTTGGGCCATTTCTGGAGGGCTCAGGGTCAGTTCTGTCCCTTGGGCCATTTCTGGGGAGCTCAGGGTCAGATCTGTCCCTTGGGCCATTCCTGGGGAGCTCAGGGTCAGATCTGTCCCTTGGGCCATTCCTCGGGAACTCAGGGTCAGTTCTGTCCCTTGGGCCATTCCTGGGGAGCTTAGGGTCAGTTCTGTCCCTTGGGCCATTCCTGGGGAGCTCAGGGTCAGATCTGTCCCTTGGGCCATTCCTCGGGAACTCAGGGTCAGTTCTGTCCCTTGGGCCATTCCTCGGGAGCTCAGGGTCAGTTCTGTCCCTTGGGCCATTCCTGGAGGGCTCAGGGTCAGTTCTGTCCCTTGGGCCATTCCTGGAGGGCTCAGGGTCAGTTCCATCCCTTGGGCCATTTCTGGAGGGCTCAGGGTCAGTTCAGTCCCTTGGGCCATTCCTGGGGAACTCAGGGTCAGTTCTGTCCCTTGGGCCATTCCTGGAGGGCTCAGGGTCAGTTCTGTCCCTTGGGCCATTCCTGGAGGGCTCAGGGTCAGTTCTGTCCCTTGGGCCATTCCTGGGGAGCTCAGGGTCAGTTCTGTCCCTTGATCCCAGAGTGGGAGGCTGAGGCCTGTGTTGGGGACACCTTTGGCAGGAGAACCTGGGAGGTTTTTTGGCCAGGCTCTGCCTGATCCATGGAATGGCCTGGCTCCCTTTCCCTTGGAGTGACTATAAAGCTCAGTCACTTCCAAAAGCACCTGGAGCTCTGTCAGAGCTTCCCAGCCTTTCCAGGCTCTGGTCAGAGCAATCCCAGCACAGCAGGGTGGTGGCTCTGTGCCACCCCAGGGACACGTTGGTGACATTTGTGCTTTTGTTTCAGAGGAGCATGAAGGAGTTCAGGGCACAGAAGGAGGAGGAGATGCAGTAGCCTTTGGGAATGGCGTGGATGTAACCTCTGTTGAATTCCCTGTGTCCAAACAAGGTGGTTTTTTGTTGTTTTTTTTATTACTTTGCTGCAAAATGTATTTTCTTTAATAATAAAGTTTATTCATTTAAATGCTGCAGAGCTCATGATGTGTTCTGCTCAGCACAGGGATGGAAGGTCATAGAATGTGGAGACAGACTGCTCCACAGATTGGGAAATTTGGGAAAATTTTTGCTCCACAGATTAGGAAAATGGGCTGGTCTTGATATTCCTCAGTCTCTGTTTTCCTTGAAACCCATTTGTCTTTTATGATTTATTTGTAAAACATTTGCATTTCAGTGAAAGTTAAGCTAAAAGCCCACCCCAACACCTGGAGAATGTTTTAATTGCAGGTCTAGTCTCTTCTCCCCTTTTCCTCTCTCCATTTTTTTCTATGACAAGGTAGAAGGGGCAAAGAAGGAAAAGAGAGAGATGTGGGAAAACCAGCAAAGAATCATCAAAAACCTGATAAATACAACTTTTTCATGTAGTTTTTCTGGAAGTTTTGGCAAGAACATTAGAATGGAGTCACATGGATTCTCAGTCACATGGAATCACATGGATTGCAGTCACAGACTGATTTGGGTTGGGAGGGACCTCCACTCCCTCTCCTCCCACCCCTGCCATGGGCAGGGACTCCTTCCCCTATCCCAGGGTGCTCCAAGCCCTGTCCAACCTGGCCTTGAGAGCTGCTGGCAGATCACCTGGGGGATGAATTATTGCCAATAATAAATTTGAGAGAGCCCTTTCCCATATTTTACTTTGCTCTAGTGGCTCTTCCAGCTGAGATTGGACCTTCTCCACTGCCTTTCCCACCTCCACATGACCACAAGGACATCTCTGTGCCTCACAGGGATTTATCCAGGCTTTGCTTGGCTTTTACAGCTGGGAATTGTCACTCTGTCTCTCCTCCTCACCCCACAGAGTGACCACCCCACCATTCCTTCCCTTCCCACACGCATCCCCCCGCCCCACATTCCACCCCGAGGCAATGGCCAGAAGTCCCTTGGTTTTCCTGTGAGGAAATGAAAAATCCTGTGAGGATGTGAATGCCCTTCCCTCTCTGAGGGGACATCTGGGGTCAGGGGCTGGGCTTGGAGCAGGTCCTGGGGAATGCTCCAGCTCCTTCCAGCTGGGTGGGGACACGATGGCAAAGCAGATGCAGGCCCAGCCAGGAAGAGCCCGGGGGAGGATCGGAGGGGTCCTGCTGTCCCTGTGCCTTGTCCTGGACAGTGACACGGGTTTAGGAAGAGCTGTACTTGTTGCTCAGGCGGGAGCTGCTCCGGTCCAGCCCCAGCTCCTGCCCCGTGGCTTTCCACTTCCCAACAGATCCCTTCTCATCTGTGGGGGTGATGCTCAGGGCCGGCCTCTGGCACCAGCAGCACAGGCAGGACTGGGGAGACACAAGGAGGAGAAGTCATACGTGGGATGTGGGAAAAGAGGAGGAAATATTCCTGTATTGTGCCAGCAGGTGTCCCTGCACAGAGCCTGGCTGGGAACTGCTGAGCCTTGCTGTCCTGCAGCTCTGCTGGGAGCAGGTTTTCCAAGATACAGCTGGTGAGGTGGGAAATGAGGACACTGAAATTTGGGTAATTTTTTGTAATTGTGTGTTCTCGTCATTAGGGGACAGAAAATACAGGTAATGCTTAGCTCCCATGCCAACAGGTGGGCTCAACTCCCATCCCATCCCATCCCATCCCATCCCATCCCATCCCATCCCATCCCATCCCATCCCATCCCATCCCATCCCATCCCATCCCATCCCATCCCATCCCATCCCATCCCATCTCCTTCCCTTTCTTTCTCAGGGCTTCACTACTCCTGATAATTATCTCCCAAAATCTTGGGTTCAATGTCTGCAGCAGCCCCAGCCCCATGTCTGATGGTTTGTGGGGATGTTCCTGTTCCAGAGTGACAGGGAGTTTTTGGGATTGTCCTAAATCCTGCTCTGGCAAAAGCCTCCCCCCAGCAGGGCACTGAGCTCTGGTGTACTTGGAGAAAAGAGATATCCAACAGGGAAAATTTGGGATGAGGAATAAGATCAGCTGGTGCCCCTGGGCCTGGGGGGTCATTCCTACCTGGAAGCAGTTCTTGAATTTCCGGCTGACAAAGTACAGAGCCACGGGGTTGATGCAGGAGTTGAGGGAGGCCATGTTGATCCCAAAATAATCCATCACCAGGAGGAAGCTGAAATGGGAGAGAACAGATGTGTCAGAAGCTCATGGAGAACAGAGGAAATTTCCAAACTGCCTGGCCTGGGATCCTGCTTCTGTGGAGGAGCAGTGACTGATAACAGAGCTGAGCACAAATCCATCCTTCCCTGAGAAAAACCACTTTTCCTTGCATGGAGCATTCCCTGAGGAAGCCAAGAGCAGGAGCTGTGATTTCTCCTGGCGCTCCTGATGTTCCCAAACCCCAGCACAGCAGCAGCCCCTGGCCTGGGCTGGATTTTGGCTGATGGGTGGAAGGGGAGGGAGACGGGCACCTCCCACCTGGCAGAAAGTGAGGAGCCCTCAGCTCTGCTGGGAATGTTCCTGTGCCCAGGAGACCTCAGCCTCACAGAGACATTCCAAAATTTAACTTAAACCCTTCTCTCGCCCCCCCGCCCTCTCTGTGCCCATCAGGGGGGCGGTGCAGTCCGGGCAAGGAATTGCTGAAAGCAGGAGGTGGAAGGCAACCCCCCAGTCTGGTCCCACCCAGCAGGGCCTGTGCTGGTGCCAGGGGGGCTCCCAGGCTGGTGTCCCCTGCTGGGGGCCCTACTGTCAGGATCTTAACTTGTCACAGTGACCCTGAGAAGAGTTAGAAAGTCTCTTTTCCCAGCCTGGGCTTGAAGAAGGAGTCAGGGCTCTTCATTTCTCTGTCTCAAGGTTGTTTATTGTATCTTATCTATGAAATTCTTTCTCCTGTCCTGCTGAGGTCCACCCAGCAGGACAGTTCCAGGCACTCTGCCTGCCCCCAGGGCAGGGTTATGTCTTTATACTAAAAACTACCTGTACAATGTTTACAATTCCTTTCCAATACCTATCACCTGTGTTAGACAGTGAGCTTCTACTCTAAACCAATCTGAGTGCCACCATCACAGCAGAAGATGGAGGCCAAGAAGAAGAAGGAGAAAGGCTGGACAGGCCCAGATGCCTCCATCTTGCCTCCTGAACCCCCATACCAAAAACCCCAAAATCTACTTTTCCACCCCGTGATAACTTCATGATTATTCTACCTAAACTGTTGTGGCTGGCTGATCTTCATACAAGGTTGGTAACTTCCTCCACAGGTCATAATCAAACCCACAGGTGTTTTGGGCTCTGTGCCAGGGTTTCTGAGCCCCCTGGCAGGGGTCTTGGCCATCCTGGACAGCCAGAGGGATGTTCTGGGTTGCCACACCCTACCTGAGCAGCTCGCAGCGGTTGGGGTCTGTCTGGTCGTAGATGGTCTTCTTGAGGATGCGGCTGAGGTGCAGGGGCAGCCAGCAGAGAGCAAAGATCACCACCAGGCAGAACACGGTCTTGGCCACCTCCCGGCGCTGCCAGACAGGGCAGGGGGAGGATGAGCACAGGGGAATGGGTCCCAAATTGTGGAATCGTGGAATGGTTTGGATTGGAGGGAACCTTACAGGTCATCTCGTCCCGCCATGGGCAGGGACATTTCCCACTAGCCCAGGTTGCTCCTGGAACTCTGCATCAGGTCCAGACTGCAGAAAGGGGCAGGGCAGCAGCAGCTCCACCTGGACAGACCCCTCCCCACCACTGCTCCTGGTGGCTCTGCTGGGATGGTGTTCCCTGGGACACGGGGCCTCCTCCGTCCACCCAGCACGCTGCTAAGGTGGCAACCAGCTGGAGCTCCTCAGGGAATCATTCCCAAAGTGTGGGAGGGGACAGTGAACTCTTCCCTGCACCCCTTGTCTGGGATTTGGCACATCCAACCTTTGGTCCAGTGTGGTGTGGGCTGGGATAAATGACCAGGAGAGCTCTAATGAAGCCAGAAGGGTTTGGGTTCATCCCTGAGGCTGGAGATTATGGAGCTGAAGCCCTTTTCCCTGGTGTAATCCCTGCACCAACGTGCCAAGATCCACGTGAGGCTCTGCCAGCTCATCCTGTCCTTCAGAGGGATGGGAAGCGTCCCCCCTCCGAGAGCACTCCCTCTTCTTTGGGAATGCCAGCATTCCTCCCTGGTCTCTCACCCGTTTCATGTGGTCATTCAGAGCAATCCTCATCCCGTTCCTCTTGCTCAGCATCTCACAGGACATGAGGGTGTAGAAGATGCCCGTGCACACCAAGGGCAGGCAGAAATAGAAGCCAAAAAGCCACCAGTCCTTCACATCCCGGTAGAACTGCGGGGGAGAGGGAGAGAGGGCAGCTGGAAATGGGGCCAGGGCAGCAGGGGGAACTTGGGATGCACACGTACCTTCCTGGAGCGGGATTGGGATTGGGATTGGGATTGGGATTGGGATTGGGATTGGGATTAGGATTGGGGTTGGCATTGCAATGTACATGTATCCTCCTGAAGCAGGATTTGGATTAGGGTTGGGATTGGGATGCATGGGTACCCTTCTGAAGTCAGATTGGGATTGGGATTGGGATTGGGATTGGGATTGGGATTGGGATTGGGATTGGGACTGGGGCTGGGGATGCTCAGGTACCCTCATGAAGTGGGATTGGGATTGGGATTGGGATGGGGATGGGGATGCTCAGGTACCCTCATGAAGCGGGATTGGGATGGGGATGGGGATGCACAGGTACTCTCATGTAACGGGATTGGCATTGGCATTGGCATGCACATGTACCCTCATGAAGCAGGAATGGGTTTGGGGTTGGGATAGGGACTGGGGTTGGGGTGGGGATGCTCAGGTACCCCCATGAAGCGGGATTGGGGTTGGGATGGGGATGGGGATGCTCAGGTACCCCCATGAAGCGGGATTGGGATTGGGATGAGGATGCTCAGGTACCCTCATGAAGCAGGATTGGGATTGGGATGGGGATGCTCAGGTACCCTCATGAAGCGGGATTGGGATTGTGATGGGATGCTCAGGTACCCTCATGAAGTGGGATTGGGATTGGGATTGGGATGCTCAGGTACCCTCATGAAGTGGGATTGGGATGGGGATGGGGATGCTCAGGTACCCTCATGAAGCGGGATTGGGGTTGGGATGGGGATGCTCAGGTACCCTCATGAAGCGGGATTTCTGCTCCGAGGCCAGCATGCACACCCACAGGTGCTGCTCCCAGTAGCTCAGCTCCACCATGTCGAAGGCGATGGCCTCGGGCACTGCCAGCACGATGGCCACTGCCCAGATCAGCAGCACCTCCACAGCCTTCCACATGGGGATCCCAATGCCCTGGATCCGGCTCCAGGACGCCACGGCTCGGTACCTGCCCAGGAGTGGGAGCAGAAGGTGCAGGTTAGAATTGTCCCCAAAGGTCCTTTCCCTCCACCTCTGGACCTTCCCAGGTGTGGGAATGGGAAGCAGGGGCTCAGAGGATGGATGGGGTGGGGGCTGTCCTAGGCCACCCTTCCTCACCACCCCACCCACACCACGATCCTCCCCTCAGCCTTTCCCAGCAGGATTTCAGCTCTGTCACCAGAGAGTTCCTGCTGGATTGCAGCTCCACATGAGAGCAGTCTGTGCCCATCTTGGCACTGGCCTGGGAATGAGCTCCTGGTTCTGCCTCTGGTTCCCACCGAGGGACAGGGCAGGCTGGGCAGGGCAGGGGTGGCTGTTGTGTCTCACCTGTCAATGCTGAGGGCGCAGAGGCTGAGCACTGTGATGCCCACGGAGGCTTTTTGGATGAAGGGCACCAGCTTGCAGATCTGCACCCCAAAGGGCCAGTCCTTGGCCAGGAGCTGGGGAGGATCCACAGGTTACCAGGCTGCTTTGGGAATGTGCTCCCAGCTTCCTCTCTGTGGGTGCACCCACGGGCTGTGGGGAGCCCACAGAGAGCAGGGAGAGCTCCCTGAGCTTCCCACCACTGGGAATGCGGGCACTTTCCCATGGTTTGCTGGAATTGGGAAACTTTCATTTCCCTGAATGGACACAGAGATGAAGGATGGTCCAGACACCAGTTCCTGACTCCAGACCCTGGGGGGTTTTGAATGGAGTCCTAAACTCCACACTAGGCTGCTTTGGATTGTTTTCAAAATGAGAATCAAAGTTGTGCTCTGACACAGCCAAAAATCCAGCCTGGCCAGCTCCAGAGCCGTGTGTCCTGAGCCTTTTACAGACTCTGACCCCTGAGCACACAGGATGGGCTCTGTGGCCCCACGCTCTGCCAGGACAAGCAGAGGTGGGGACGATGTGTCCTGGCAGCTGGAGAAATCCAGGCCATTCATTCCAGAGGAGACTGGACTGAGTTCACAATCCTTCTGTCCCCCTGACCCCTGGAGCCTTTCCTGAGGCTACCCCAGAACCCATTCCAGCTCTTTCCTTGGGCCTCAGCAGTAACACAAACCATGGAACCCCAGAAAGGTTTCTGGGGCACCTCAAAGCCCATCCCATCCCATCCCATCCCATCCCATCCCATCCCATCCCATCCCATCCCATCCCATCCCATCCCATCCCATCCCATCCCATCCCATCCCATCCTTTGCCATGCCCAGGGACACCCTCCACCACCCCAGGCTGCTCCAAGCCCCATCCAGGCTGGCCTTGGACACTTCCAGGGATCCAGGGGCAGCCACAGCCCGCACAGGAGCTCCTCCAAGGCCACCAGGGATGCAGAGCAGCCCCATGCCCGCCGTGCCAGGCGGAGCTGACCTTGTAGACGTTGATGGGCAGCGCGATGAGGATGTAGAGCAGGTCGCCCAGGGCCAGGCTGGCGATGAGCACGTTGGGGCCGTTCCTCATGCACTTGTTCTTGTAGATGATGCGCAGCAGCGTGGAGTTGCCGATGATGCCCACGACGAAGATGGTGCAGGACACGATGGTGTTGATGTACTTGAAGGCGTGGCGGATGTCGGCGGGCCGGGCGCACACGGGCAGCAGCGGCGGCTCCGAGGGACGGCTCCCGGCGGCGCCCGACGCGTTGGACACGACCTGCACCGGGCCGTGGGGCTGCTCCTGGCCCAGCTCCCCCAGGGGCACCGGGCTCTCCTGCACCGCCCCGGGGGTCTGGCTGTGAGCCCCAGAGAGGAGGCAGCTCAGGACCATGGCCAGGGCGGCGGGGAAGGGGATGGGTCCTGCTGAGGAGGGGACAGCGAGGCTGGGGGCTGCAGGAGTGCTCATGGTGCTTGTGGGGTGTCCTTGGGGTCCTGCTGGGATCTGCCAGGGGAGAAAGGGAGCGGGGAGAGAAATTGTTTAGCAGAGGATGGAGAGATGGGATATTGGAGAGAGGAAAGTTGTCCAGCCTGCAGAGGAGGAGGCTGAGGTCCGATCTCATCGGGGTCTGAAAGCTCCTCACAAGGGGCAACTCTGAACTCTGCTTGCTGTGAGCAGGGACAGACCCAGGGAACAGCTGGAGCCGTGCCAGGGAGGGTTAGGTGGGAGATCAGGAAAGGTTCTTCCCCCAGAGGGTGCTGGCACTGCCCAGGCTCCCCAGGGAGTGGGCACAGCCCCGAGGCTGCCAGAGCTCCAGGAGCCTTTGGACAGCGCTCCAGGGATGCCCAGGGTGGGGTTGTTGGGGTGTCTGTGCAGGGCCAGGGGCTGGGCTGGGTGATCCCTGTGGGTCCCTTCCAAGCAGGGATATTCTATTTTATGATTCAATTCCATTTATGAGTTGCTGGAGAGCTCCATCATCCCAGCAAACAAACGATGCCAGATCAGATCCCACCAGGTCAGAGCTGTTGACCCTGAGGGTGGGGTTTGTGCTGCTAAATTTAAACAGTCCAGTAGAACAAAGTGGAAGGAGAACAAACTGTCCCTTGTGCCTCTGACGTGGCCCTGCAGTGGCTGGGACACCTGTCTGTGCTCAGGGACTGTGGCAGCAGGGACTGCACCTCCTGCATTGCTGCTCTGGGGACAGTCCCAATTCCCTCCTGTGCCCATCCCACTCCTCACTCAGAATCCCAGAATCACTGACATTGGAAAAGGCCCCCAGGAACATCGAATCCAAGCTGTGCCCAATCCCCATCTCCTCACCAGCCCAGAGCTGAGTCCAGGTATTCCTTGGACACCTCCAGGGATGGGCACTCCAAGCCTCCCTGGGCAGCCCCTGCCAAGGCCTGAGCCCCCTTTCCGTGGGGAAATTCCTGCTGTGCCCACCCTGAGCCTGCCCTGGCCCATCCTGAGGCCGTTCCCTCTGCTCCTGTCCCTGTTCCCTGGGAGCAGAGCCTGACCCCTCCTCATGTCAGGGAGCTGTAGGGTTTAGTTTTGGGACATTTAGTTCCTGGCAGGTTGAGGTTGCAGTTTTGGGGCACCTCTGTCAATGCCTGCCCATCTGGGCAGCTCTGCAGCCCCACCTCAGGCTCCAGAGAACCAGCAGAACTTTTCCAGCTCATTCCAGGGGGAAACTGAAGCCTCACCACCATCCCCCTGCCCAGCTGGTCCCACGGCTGCCCCTGCAAAGGGAGGGCTCAGCACAGCCCTGCTGGGGGAACGCTGCAGGGCTTTTGCAGCAGTGCCACAGTGACCCCTGAGCTCTCACCCCATGGATGTGCAGCAGCACAGCCCCTCCCTGCCCTTCCTCACCCCATCAGCTGAGCCCCTTCCTCCCCAGCCCCTGCCTGCCCTGCCCAGGGCTGTAACTCTCCCTGGGCTCCTTCCAGCCCTGGCTGCTGACACAGGGAAAGGTCTCCAGGGCTGGAGCACCGGGAATATCCCCAGAGGGGTTTTGCTCTGCTCAGCTCTGACCAGGCAGGAAGAGCCCAGGGGCTGCCCCACAGCCACAGGAGAGAGCTGAGGGTGGTGGTGGCTCCATCCCAGGGCTGGGGTTGAGGAAAGGGCTCTGGGAGATCCAGGCTGAGAAATGAGCCCAGAGAAGGAGCAAACTCCAGCCTGTTCCTCAAACAGGGATAAATCTGGGGGCTCCTGGTTGGAGTGAATAAGGAACAATTTTGTCAAACCGTGAAACTTCCCAGCTCTGAAGGGAGAAGAAATTGCTGTGGCTGGACTGGGAACTGGAGCCTTTGTGAGAGCCCCTGGGATTTCCCTGCTGCAGGGAACAAGTGAGGCAGGGACCAGGGAGCCTGAGTGGGATCAGAGCAGGGGCTCAAGCTCTGCTCTGACTCCTCCAGGCAGAGCTGGGATCTGATCCCAAACCCGCTGCACCGCAGGAGCTGCTCCCAGGAGCAGCCAAGGCACTCCCAGGTGTAGCAGGGCTCTCCCTGCCCATGGCCAGGGGAACCCCGGGCCCAGCACAGCTCCCACCCTGGGAGGAGGTGGCCAGGCCAGGCAGGAGCCCCCAGAACTGACCACAGCTCCTGTGGACACGGCCATGCCTCCCCAGGGGCTCAGCCTTGTGGGAATGCCTGGGCTGGGCTGGGAAGGGTGAAGAAAGGAGAGGAAAGATGTATAAATACCCCAAAGGATCACAAACCTGGGCACAAATCCCTGCTCTGAGCTGTTCCAGGGATTTCAGCCTGGCTGAACTCCCCCAGCCATGCTGGGCACAGGTGCCCACTGGGGGTGTCCCCTCCCCACAGTGCCCATGGGGTTGCAGCTCTCAGGAGAGGGCAGACCCCACTCAGAATTCCTGCCCGAGCTCCCTGAGGGCTCTCAGGGGCAGCTTTGGATGGCACAGCCTCTTGTGGCTGGGGGACAGAGGTGGCACTGGCAGAAAGCACCAGAGCACCCCTGGAACAGGGAACGTGCCCAGAGCCCCCCACAGCCCTGGGCTGTTTCATGAGCCCAGCCTGGCCTCAGAGCTCTGGTAAAGAAAAATGCAGAAGCATAAAAACCCTGGGGCTTGGCAGAGGAGCTCATGTGAGGGAGGATCACAGGACACGGCTCCTGCCCAGCCTCTCCATGACACAACTACAAAGCACCGGAGAGGAAAAACACTTCCTCCCCAGTTCGCCTTAAACTCAATCAAATCTGTTGTTAAACCCAAAATTTAGGCAAAGAGAAACTGTTTTCTCCTGTCCAACTGCCCTTTTACTCCTTGCTCTTCCCATCTTGGAGTGCTTGGAAGCACAGCCCTTCCTCAGCTGAGGGAAACTGAGGCACAGGAACATCAAGAAGCTTGTTCAGATGGGAAACCAACACCAACCAGTAGGGTTAAACCCCAGATCCAGAACTGCTTTCACCCATCCCAGTGGGAATTTTAACTGTGCTGAGCCCAAATGGCAGCTGAAGCCATTGGAATCCTGACATGGATTCAGGGAACCAGGGAGAGACTCCCAGAGAGAAACTCACACTGAAAACTGTCACCTCAACCCTCCAGAGCCTGATTCTGCCTGAAAGGTGCCGTGAGTGGGATTGGAATCCCTTTTCCCTGGGAGCCCAGGAGAGCCCAGCGCGTCCATCCTCACATCCAGCAGCCTCATCCTCCCTCCATCCTCCTCCTCCTCCTCCTCCTCCTCTCCCTTCCAGAGCAGTTCCACCTCTCCAGACTCATCTCTGCAGACACCAAACACAGCTTTTCAGTGGGTAAATATTGCAGCACAATCTGTGTGCAGGGAGAGAGGTGGCAGCAGCACATCCCACCCTCAGGGCTCCTTGCCCTGAGCCCAGCCTGCCCCGGGAGCAGAAGTTCCCACCCCAGGTGTGCTGGATTTCTCCTCTCCTGCCACATCCTGGACCTTGGCCAGCCACCGTGGTGCCTCCAGCACCTTCCCCAGAGGGGGCTGCAAAAATTCACCCAGACACAAGGAATCATTTTGTCTGCAGATTAATGCACAGGAGATCAAAGCTTTCCTGGGAGTCGTTACCTTCCTGCTGACCCTGGAATGTGGGAGCTGCTCCTCAGGGCTCCTTCCCCCTGCTGGGCATGTCCTGGGGGAGCTGCACTGCTTTGGATGCTGGAGTTGGCTTTTGAGAGGGGCTGGAGCTGTGGAAAATGCTCCTTCCTGCCGTGGGTGGTTTTATAGAACATCCCAGGGCTCCCCCAGCACAGCCCCTGCGACCAATGGCTGAGGGCGGGATGGGGATGGAGGAGGGAAAGGCGGGAGAAACACGGGATAGCTCTGGGAAGGAGTGAAAATAATAAACAAATAAAGCTGCTCAGGGGGTGGCACTGTCTGCTCCATGAGTGACACGATCCTCAGCTCAAGATTTGTTCAAAGTTCCTGATGAGAACTGGAGCAACCTGGCTTTTCTCAGTGGTCAGGGTTTGTAAATAGGGTAGAAATCATCTGTATATGCAGGAGAAGCCAGGTTTAGTGGGAAGGACACGGAGGTAGAGCCAGGTTTAGTGGGAAGGACATGGAAGTAAAGCCAGGTTTAGTGGGAAGGACATGGAAATAAAGCCAGGTTTAGTGGGAAAGACACGGAAGTAAAGCCAGGTTTAGTGGGAAGAATATGGAGGTAAAGCCAGGTTTAGTGGGAAGGACACAGAGGAAGAGCCAGGTTTAAGTGGGAAGGACATGGAAATAAAGCCAGGTTTAGTGGGAAGAATATGGAGGTAAAGCCAGGTTTAGTGGGAAGGACACGGAAGTAAAGCCAGGTTTAGTGGGAAGGACATGGAAATAAAGCCAGGTTTAGTGGGAAGGACAGCAGGAAAAGCCAGGTTTGCTGGGCTGGGCTGGATGGACACAGCCCATCCCTGGCCTTGCCTGGAGCACTCAGCTGCTGCCCTGTTTTGTCCAGCAATACCCAGAGATGTTTCCACCTTTTGTGTCCCAGAGTTGACTCTGGAGCTCAGTGGATCATTCCTGCACCTTGGTGCATTCCTGGGACTCTGGGGCTGGACTTTTGCTCTGGGAGCAAACGAGTCCCTTGCCAGCTGGAGGCTCTGAAGGGCAGCAGGAGGTGACCTGGCCCTGTCCCCCTGCCCTCTCCATCCCAGGCAGAGCAGGGAGCAGCCCCTTGAAGGGCTCCTCTGCCCGGGGCAGAATCCATGGATTTAGCTACCCTTTAACCCTTTGGCCTCTGTGAGGAGCTGCGGCTTTTCCTGGGCTCTCTTCCCCAAACAGAGAAGTTTGGGGCGTGCGGGGCCCCCCTTCCTGTCTATTCTGGGCCAGTCACGTTCCTGCACGGGACAGGGCATGAATGGCCCTCTCTGTTCTGCTGGGGACAAAGGATGGCTCCTACCCCTGGGAGACCCCAGGAAAACCCAACCTTGCCCAGCCAGAGGGGCCCTGACACACCCTGGGGTCCGAGGCTGGTGCTGAGTCACTGCAGGGGTGAGAATGAAACCCCACAGCCACGCCACATCCCCTGCTTTGTGTCCCAGCAGGAAAGCAGGACAGCTTCCAGGGATCCCTGAGGCCTGGCAGAGCCACAGCCCAGGGCATCCATCCCTCATGGCTTTGCCAGCTGTGGGAATGTGCCAATGGCTTTGTAGTCCAAGCCATGGGAACAGCTTTGCCAGACAGGGTTTGTGAAGGGGAATGGCTGCTGCTCCCAGCTGGAATCACAGGGTTTGACCTGCAGTGGACAGGTTGGAGCTGCCCCACAGAGGCTCAGCTGGGCTCTGCTTTGGGGTGAGGAGATTGAGAGGAATCTGATTTACAGGTGTGGCCATGGAGCAAAGAAACATCTGGAGAACCATTTGGGAGGTTCTCCTTTCCCCTCCCAACATCTGGATGCTCTCCCTGTGGCAGGGGGAATGCAGCTGTGTGCCCAGGGATGTGCACAGGAGGGGATGGAGGTGCCTCCCAGACCCCCCACTAATTTCTCTAATTATAGCACTAATTAGGGCACTAATTGCTCTTCACAGGCCTGGCCCCGTTTCAGTTCAGCTGGAGGCGCCCCAGTGCCCAGGTGTGGGTCTGTGTTATCCCAGATGCTGTGGGAAGTCAGGGATGCCTGGCAGGAGGGAGCATCCCTGGAGGCAGCACAAACAGAGCCTCTCCTCTGGGAGCTGAACAGGAGAGCTCAGAGACAGTCCCTCGGGAACTGAGACAGGTAAAACATCACAGAGAAGCGACTGCTGGGGACCTGCAGGGACAAATCCTTCAGGAAGACGTTTTTCCAGGGCTGTCAGCTAGCAAATTCTGCTTTTGGGAGGCCTGGTGTCATCTGACTGAAATTCTGGGTGTATTTCTGCTCAGGCATCCTCTGGGAAGGCTTGGATTTAGTTCTGCAGCACTGGGAATGCTGAAATGGAAAGCTCAGAAACTGCCTCCCAGCCCGACACCTCCACTGGCATCACTTTAAATAAATAAATAGAAGATTGTGCCTGCATTTCTGGTCATACTCCTCAAGTCCTGCTGCCAGCATTCCCTTTGCCCTGCCTCTTATGCCAGAGGGGTCTGGAGAGCTGGGGAACAGCTCTGGCATCTTTCCAGCAGTGCTTTTCTGCTGCAAATATTTTCATTCACATCAAGTTCTGGTCTCTGAATTTCCCCTTCTCCTTCCCCCTCCAGGATGATATTCCTTGGTTTTAACTCCTGGAGCAACCCAGCAGTGCAGCAGCAAAGAGTGAGGAGAGCAAGAGGTGGTGCCAGTTCCTGCCCTGCCCTCCGCTCCTTCCCTTTCCTATCCTATGGAGAACTGAGCCTGAAGCCTCAGAGCCAAGAAAAATGTCCCAGTGGCTTGGGAACCATGGGAGCAGTGGGGTGCAAACCCCCATTTGTCCCCTATTCCTGCCCTGCTGCCCATCCTGCCCCAGCAGCCCAGGAGGAACTCCAGGAAATTCTCCCTGGATTAAACTCTGGAACCTCCAGCAACTCCGGGCTGGATCCCCCGGCCCGGGCATGTTCAAAGAGCCGGAACAGGGATTATTGCAGGGTCTGCAGTGTGTGCAGCCGGGATGGGTGGGTGTCTCTGTGGGTGCAGGACGGCGTCGTTCATCCCCACGGGATTTTCCCTTCCCCGGAGGAGGGAGGGGATGTCTCGGGAAGCGCAGCCACATCCCTGCTGTTCCCACGAGCCCGCGCTGACCCCGCACTTGAAGTTTTTTTTTTGCTCATAACTTTCTTATCAGCCGGGGCCGAGCGGAGTCGAGTTCTTGGAGCTGTTGGAGGGGACGGGGCATTTGCAGCCCCGCCCGGGACATCCAGAGGGACACGGGACAGACGGAGGGACACGGGACACCGGGGGGGACACGGGACAGCAGGGGGGACACGGGACAGCCAGAGGGGACACGGGACAGCCAGAGGGGACACGGGACAGACGGAGGGGACACGGGACAGCAGGGGGGACACGGGACAGAGGGGGGGACATGGGACAGCCAGAGGGGACAGGGGACAGCGGGGGGGACACGGGACAGCAGGGGGGACACGGGACAGCCAGAGGGGACACGGGACAGACGGAGGGGACACGGGACAGCAGGGGGGACACGGGACAGAGGGGGGGACATGGGACAGCCAGAGGGGACACGGGACAGACGGAGGGACACGGGACAGACGGAGGGGACACGGGACAGCAGGGGGGACACGGGACAGCCAGAGGGGACACGGGACAGACGGAGGGACACGGGACAGCAGGGGGGACACGGGACAGACGGAGGGACACGGGACAGACGGAGGGGACACGGGACAGACGGAGGGACACGGGACAGCCGGCGCTGCCGCTGCTGCTGCCGGGGTCGCACCTCCTGTCCCCGTGTCACCGCTGGGGGTGGCCGTGCCTGGGACGTCGGGCACAGCGGGGATGCGCAGCTGGCTCTGGTGACAAGGATCAGAGGCTGAGCTGTGTCCGTCCCTCGGGGCGCAGGAGCCTTAAGGAAGTCGCAGGGGCTGGGGACAGCTCTGTGTCCCAAAGATGTGGAAACCAGCGGTGGGAGGATGTTGATCCTGGCCTGGTGGGAAGAGGGAATAACATCACAGAATCATGGAGCTGTTGAAGTGGAAAAGACCTTTTGGCCACCAAGTCCAACCATCAGCCACCAGCATGAGTGCCACTAAACCTTGTCCCCAGCTGCCCCATCCGTGTGGTTTTAGCCCACTTCCAGGGATGGGAATCCCACCACTGCCCTGGGCAGCTGTGCCAGGGCTGGACAACCCTTCCTGTGAAGAATCTTTCCCCAGTTTCCAATCTGAGCCTCCCCTGGCACAGCCTGAGGCCGTTTCCTCCCATCCTGCCCCTTGTTCCCTGGGAGCAGAGCCCGATCCTACCTGGCTGCTCCCTCCTGGTTTCTCCAGGAGCCCCACAAGTCCTGAGGGCTCTCCAAAGGCAGAGGGGAGGCACCTCCCAGGTGTTCACAGGGTCGGGATTGCTGCTCTCAAGGCAGTTGGTGACTGCAGAGGATCCCCCAAAGTGCTGGTGGAGTTGTCCCTCCTCACCCCGAGCTCTGCCATGGCTCCCAAGAGGGTCCTTGCTCTCCTGGGTGTGGAATTGTGGCTCCTCAGGATCCATACGCTGCTCCACAGCTGATCTGGTGCCAGGCTGGACATGGGAGCGAGGCCCTTGGACACAGAAATGGGATTTCTGCCAGGGTTTTATGTGTCACAAGGTGCATTTCCCTGAGGTGTTTTGGGGAGGTCTCCCACAAACCTCCCTCTGTTGGAAGCACT